GATTCCCCATTTGACTAGATTCTCCCAGAGCAATATTTCATTGACCAGCAAATCATTCCTTTTTAATAAATTTATCAGCACATTTATTTGATGCGTATAGAATTTGAAATGATCATCTTAAATATTAACATAACTACCTATAAAAAATTATGATATAATCAACAAGTTTGTTAAAAATATACAGTATTTATACAGTCTAAATCATATTGTTACAGCAGATAAACAAAATTTAAATTTATTTCCTTATATAGATAATTTTATTATTGTATTTTTACATAAAAATTTAATCTATAGTCTTCATTTTATGAGTCATATATTTGACCATTATTCTTTCCACTATATGGTTGCGCATGCATGCACTAACTCAAAAATGTAAAATATGTGTTTCCAATAATTTTAGTTCCATTTTTATCGTTATCGTTATCTATAAATGTAGCGAAATGCGCAATTTTCCCACGTACTTGTATCATCTGACTATCCGAGTGATTATTTATGTTATGGTGTAACATGTTTACTCGTTTTTCCTATCATAAGAGTTGTCCAGGTGAAGCTGATATTTGTGTCAGGGTGAGGGTGGCGAGCGAAAAGTACTATTGCCAGCGATAAATAAACAAATTAGGTTCATTATCGTCAACCAATGAGGTTTACACATGTAAGTTTTTTTTTTTACACGTTTTATGGCTTATAATGAATTCCGAGATCTGTTACAAAAACTGCATAAATAACTCAAAAAAGGAGTGTTTATCAGTAAAAAATGCACAAAAATAAAAAAATAGACTCAATAGAATTTTCCTCCTCAAGTACTATATGCGATAGATTATTGCATATATTCAGTTGCTCGCATATATATACGTATGTTTATTGGAAGAGCATTCCTTAAAAAATCGAGTATCAAAATTACGTACATATTTAACATCCCCTCTACAAAAACTCTGTAAAAGTAACTCTCTCACATGTTACTATCATCGGTTTAACGTCATACTTCAAAATATTAGAGGAATATATATAAGCCACACTCCTTCAAAACGTGTCTTTCTTACAATTGTAAAAAACAACTAGATTTATCGAAAAATACCAAAAAAATGGGTGTAGAGTTTCTGACAAATCTTTCGAGAGACCTTTCGATATTACTCACGGATACAGAGGATTATAATATGATCATAAATGTCGGCGAAAAGGAAACCACCAAAACTTTTCGTGTACACTCCACAATACTACGAGTGCGGTCACCATATTTTAAAGCGGCTTTGTCAAGCGAGTGGGCAAAAATCGAAAATAATTTGATCACCTTTAATAAACCAAATATTAGTCCTATCGTTTTCGAAATAGTACTAAAGTGAGTAATTATTTTAATTATTTTATTTTTTCAATATTTATTTTATTTGGATGAAATCCTTTAGTAAACATATTTCATCGTTGATAATAGATACATATATACAGGACAAATAATGTTGGATAACTATGAGACTTCAGTAATTCTGGATCTACTAGTGGCAGCTGACGAACTATGCCTTCAGGAACTAATCGATCATTCGCAAGACTACTTGCTCTGTTACAAACCAAGTTGGATGCAGAGAAACTTTGCCACCACTCATCGGATAGCATTTCAGCATTCTGGTACGTTCAAGAAGCTGAGAGAATACTGTTCGGAAATCATAAGAAATGACCCGGAATTAATATTTCAAGCTGAAGATTTTTCGATGTTGGATGAAAATGTGTTGATAAATTTATTAAAAAGGAATGATTTGCTGGTCAATGAAATATTGCTCTGGGAGAATCTAGTCAAATGGGGAATC